AATGCTTCAGGTTGTCAGGAGGAGAACAAGATCAGAATGCAAAGGAGGGCATTTCCTCTTTGATTTTCAGCCAAGGAAAATAGTTACTATAGACAGATGGATAGAAGCAGTGGTGGGATTCAGCCAGTTCGCACCACTTCGGGAGAACCGGTTAACTTTCTGAGCAGTTTGGCAAACTGGTTGTTGGAAGAAATCAGTAGGGCAGAGAACCGGTTGTTAAATTACTTGAATCCCACCACTGGATAGAAGGATGGATGAGAGAAAGAGAGAGAGAGAGAGGAAGGGACGCTGGGAGGGAGGGAGGGAGGGAAGAAGGGGAGAGAGAGGGAGGGATAAGGTAGCTAGGTAGATAGGTAGATGATAGACAGATAGAGAGAGATGTAGATGTCAGGTAGGTAAGTAGATGATAGACAGAGAGAGACATAAAAGATAGATATAGACAGACAGATAGACAGAGACATAGATGATATGGTAGGTAGGTAGGTAGGTAGATGATAGATAGATAGATAAATAGATAGATAGATAGATAGATAGATAGATAGATAGATAGATGATAGATAGATGATAGATAGACACAGAGAGAGTCATAGATAGATGATAGATAGATAATATAGATAGATAGATAGATAGATAGATGATAGATAGATAGATAGATGATAGATAGATAGACACAGAGAGAGTCATAGATAGATGATAGATAGATAATGATAGATAGATAGATAGATAGATAGATGATAGATAGATAGATAGATGATAGATAGACACAGAGAGAGTCATAGATAGATGATAGATAGATAATGATAGACAGACAGACAGACAGACAGACCCAGAGAGAGACATAGATAGATGATAGATAGATAATGATAGATAGACAGACAGACAGACACACACACACAGAGAGAGAGAGATAGATAGATAGATAGATAGATAGATAGATAGATAGATAGATAGATAGATAGATGATAGATAAGATATAGATAAGGTAGGTAGGTAGGTAGGTAGATGAAAGACAGAGAGAGACATAGATGATAGACAGACAGACAGACAGACAGACAGACAGACAGACAGACAGACATATGATAGTGAGACAAGAAACATGGTTAGGTAGATAAATATAGATGAAGGATGGATGGATAGATGATAGATGAGATAAATACAGAGGCAAACTGGCAGACAAATAGATTGATAATTTCCCCCCCATGTTAGTCTAGATCAGGACCATAATGTGAGAAAAAAAAAAAAATCAAGAAAATGAAGAACCGCGTTTCAAGTGGGTTAAAATTCATTCCAATCTTTCCCACCTTTTGTGGCCCAATGGCCACGGCACATTTGGAGTTCTGAGTAGCATATTGTGAACATTTCCACAAAATGGCCACCGTGCCCATTCATAAAAAGTCGGTCATAAAAAATAAACCCCCCTTATCCAAAAGCTAAGCAGGAATTGCTCCCTGCCATTCCATTTAACATTTCAAGATGTTCCCTTCCACCCCACTGGGATGGCTGGCACAGTCGGACCCCAGGCAGAGTCTCTTATTTTTCCGTCTCTTCTTCTGGGCAGGCGTCCAAAGAAAACTCTGGACGGCAGCCATCCATATTAAGGGGGAAGCCCGAGGCTGGCATTTTGCTTGTACTCTACCAGCTTCTCTTTGCTGCTGCCAAGGATGAATGAGGAGGTTATCGCGCCAAGAGGAAAAAAGACTGAACTGGTTATGAGGATTCTTTCTGTACACACGAGTGTGATTTAGTGTGCAAAACATGATCTCCATCCTTCTCCGGAGGAGGAGGCTGAGGTGATTCTAAACTCTATTTAATGACTGGAAGAGTATCTCAGGTTCTCTGTCTTTTCCTTAACCCTTCCTGGTCTTCTTTCTCACCTGTCTTCCTTCTCAACATATATTGTCCCCATTTTAGTAGACATTATCCCTTCCTTCCTTCCTTCCTTCCTTCCTTCCTTCCTTCCTTCCTTCCTTCCTTCCTTCCTTCCTTCTTTTACCCATCTCGGAAGGACGGAAGGCTGAGTCAACCTTGAGCCTGGTGAGATTCGAACTGCCAAATTGCAGGCAGTGAGCAGAATTAGGCTGCAGTACTGCACTCTAACCACTGCACCACCCCGGAAGGACGGAAGGCTGAGTCAACCTTGAGCCAGTCAAGATCGAACTGCTGGCAGTCGGCAGAGTTAACTTGCAATATGGCATTCTAACCACTGGGTCACCTTGCCTACCTGCCTGCCTGCCTGCCTGCCTGCCTGCCTGCCTCCCTCCCTCCCTTCCTTTTTTCTTTCCTTCACAAGCAATAGCCCTTACACTTATATATCGCTTCATAGTGCTTCACAGACCTCCCTAAGCAGTTTACAGAGTCAGCCTCTTTCTCCCAACAATCTGGGTCCTCATTTTTACCAACCTCGGAAGGACGGAAGGCTGAGTCAACCTGGATCCGGTGAGAATCGAACTGTCAAATTGCAGGCAGTCAGCAGTCAGCAGAAGTAGCCTGCAGTACTGCACTCTAACCACTGCGCCACCATGATTCAATAAGGAGAAAGCGACTGGACCCAACCACTCTGACCTTCGTCTCTTTATCCCAGCCATCCAAGAAAAGACCCCACCCCAGGGCAGAATCCTCAACTCCTGTCAGCACTTCAAGCTTCATTTACTCTAGTGCTGACATAAGAAGGAGAAGCGGAGGCGTCTGGAAAGGGACGTTTGACTTTTCACCTACTTATTTTCCCTGGAGATAATATCCCCTAGGAGATGGATGGGAGGGGGAAATTCCTTTGAGCTGGAGCAGTAGATTAGGGGTAGAGTGACTTGGAAGATGGCCAATGAGTGCAGGGGAGTGGGGAACAGAAAGGGAGGGTTTGGGGGCTGGAAGTCAGTGTTGGCTTCGATTGAGTCGGTTAGAATGTCATGCTTAATAAAATGGGAGTTTTTCATCAAAGACTTCGTTTGAAATGCAATTTATTTGAGACGACCTCAAAACTTGACAACTCCCCAACTCTGGGACCACTTGAAGATGGATGGACTTCAACTCCCAGGATTCCCCAGCCAGCTTTCATTTCCCCCCCCCCCTTCTTTTTATCATTGTAGGCCACCTAGAGTAGCCCCACAGCGAGATAGGTGACAAATTTAACAAATACATAAATTACTTAGCAACAACAGTTTTTTGCCATCCTTTTTTTTTAAAACTAAACTGGGTTTGAAAACTGCAAAAAAAAAACAACAAAAAGGCACGGACATGCCCATTGCCAACCTCCCGCAAAGAGCCCTCTTGAGGACTAGTGGATGGATGGACCGATAGGCACATAATTCAGGGCAGTTTAACAAACCCTGTTGCAAACAACACTAAGAAATCCGGTCCTTGAAAGTTGTGGGTTCTCCATCACGGGAGGTTTTCAAGAAAAGATTAGATAGCCGTTTGTCTGGAATGGTATAAGGTCTCCTGCTTGACCATAGGGTGGACTAGAAGACCTCTGATGTCCCTTTCAGCAGCTCTCCTTGAACAGGTGACGTAGTGAACCGTGTCTAAAATCAGGCAAACTTGGTGACTTCTTTACCGTGAATTTCCATGACCTCCTTTAATATCCCCACCTCTGCAGTTTGGACTAGAAGACTTTCAACTCTGTTATTCTGTTACAGGAAGGGAAATAACAGAATAACAGAATTGGATGGGACCTTGGAGGTCTTCTAGTCCAACCCCCTGCTCAAGCAGGAGACCTATACCATTTCAGACAAATTGGCTGTCCAGTCTCTTTTTTAAAAGCTCCAGTGATGGAGCACTCACAATTTCTGGAGGCAAGTAGTTCCACTGGTCAATTATTCTGTCAGGAAATTTCTCCTTAATTCCATGTTGCTTCTCTCCTTGATTAGTTTCCATCCATTGCTTCTTGTTCTGGTTCGGGTGCTTTGGAGGATACATTGGCCCCTTCTTCTCTGTAGCAGCCCCTCAAATATTGGAAGACTCCTGTCAAGTGACCCCTAATCCTTCTCTTCATTAGGTTCGACATACCCGTTTCTCGCAACCATTCTTCATACGTTTTAGCCTCCAGACCCATTCTCATTTTTGTAGTGATAAGTGTGGTATTCATACAGAATACAGAATAACAGAGTTCAAAGGGACCTTGGAGGTCATCTAGTCCAGCCCCATGCTTGAGCAGGAGATCCTATACCATTCCAGACAGATGTTTGTCCAGTCTCTTCTTAAAAACCTCCAGTGATGAAGCTCATACTACTTCTGGTGGCAAGCTGTTCCACTGGTTAATTGTTCAAACTTTCAAGTTTAAGATTCAAAAGGCCATGTATATTTTAATAATAATAATAATAATAATAATAATAATAATAATAATAATAATTTTATTTCTATACCGCCCTTCTCCTGAAGGACTCAGGGCGGTGTACAGCCATTTAAAAACACAAGACACAACAATGATTAAAAATTAAAATAATTAAATAGATTTGGCTGATTTAAAACCCCAAAAATTTTTTAATACCCCAATTTAAAAATTATTATTTGATAGCCCGGCCTGGCGGAATTTTATATAGTATTTTGTACATACTGACTTGGGGTCGGGTGGGGAAAGCACTTTTCCATGCAATTTATTATCAAATCGTAAACCAGGAAATAAATTTGACTGCAAGCTTTCTTGAAAATATATTAAAAATACATCTAAGTTGGAAAATTGCTTTCAGTTGGTCTCTACAAAAAAAACACAGTGATGTGTAAACCATCATTCGTGGTTTAAAGTGTCGGAACCCAGCTAGTTGTGTTTTGATTCCACAAACCACAGCTTAAGAAAATGATAGATGAATAAGATATGAGAGCCAAAGGGACTGACCGTCTTCTCAACTATCCCCCTCCCCTTCCACGCCCCTCACCTCCGAAAACTTTCCGTCCCCAAACCATTTCAACCAGCGCATGCCAGGGGCCGCCTGGCGGTTGGAGGTCGTCTTCCAGGACACCACGATGGCCGGCCACCAGGAGAAGCCTTTGATCTTCCCCCAGACCATTCCCCGATTCCAAAGCCTTTTCCGTCCTGCGAGTCAAACAGAAACAAGGGGAAGGTTGAACAAGGGGGAGGGGGTCGGTTAAGGTTAGGGGGCAACCCCACGGATGCAACTCAAGAGCCTTGGTGGTGCAGTGGACTAAAGTGCTGTTAAGTAGCACTTAGCTGCCAGCTGCCTGCAATTACTGCGAGTTCGAATCTCACCAGGCTCAAGGTTGACTCAGCCTTCCATCCTTTCTAAGGTAGGTGAAATGAGGACCCGGATGGTGGGGGCAATAAGCTGACTTTGTATAAATATACAAAAGTATGAAGGCTATTGCTTAATGCATTGTAAGCCCGCCCTGAGTCTCGGAGAAGGGCGGCATATAAATTGAACCAATAAATAAATAAATAAATAAATAAATAAATAAAGTCGACCTGCCCAGAGTTGTTGGACAGTGTGATGAGTGTCATATCAATTTAATCAGTGAATAAAAGAAACAAATTACTCAGAGCAACAAAGTTGGTTAGCAAGGATTGGAGTCTTGTTTTCCAGCCCCAGCATTGCTAAAAATCATTCATTCTTTTTTTTTTTTATTGAAAAGTTTTATGAAAAATACAAACATTTTCACACCCCCCACCCTTCCCCCCTCAACCCCCCCTCCCCTTCCCACCCTCCCTTCCCCTCCCTCCCCCCCACCCCCCCTCCCTAGACTTCCCAAAACGAGCACAGGATATAGCATTCACAAACCAAGAACTAAATGTGCTAACAAATTATTACATTTCATATTCTCCCTAGGTCCTTAACTCCTTATAACTCAGAAAAAACAAACATAAACTACTTAATATTATTCATTCATAAGCTATATGAATCTTCTTATTCGGATACTTCAATCATTCATTCTTGACGAAGAGCATCAAGTTATCTGTTTTATTTGTTATTTATTTTCTTATTTGTAATTTATTTTCTATTTTTATTTCTTGTTTATTTTGTTATTGTTATTTATTTATTTTGCTACATGTTTTGTTAGTTATTTATTTTGTTACTTTGCTATTTACAGCCTATTTACTTATTTTGCTATTTATATTGTTAACTATTTTATTTAGTTCCTTCCTTTATTATTTTTACAAATAACTCAAGGAAGCAAACGCACACAATACTCCCTCTTCCCTCCTATTTTCCCCACAACAACCACCCTGTGAGGTGGGTTGGACTGAGAGAGGGAGGGACTGGCCAAAGTCACCCAACTGGCTTTCATGCCTAAGGCAGGACTAGAACTCACCGTCTCCTGGTGATTGGCCCAAAGTCACCCAGCCAGCTTTCATGCCTAAGGGGGGACTAGAACTCACCGTCTCCTGGTGATTGGCCCAAAGTCACCCAGCCAGCTTTCATGCCTAAGGGGGGACTAGAACTCACCGTCTCCTGGTGATTGGCCCAAAGTCACCCAGCTGGCTTTCATACCTAAGGCGGGACTGGAACTCACCGTCTCCTGGTGATTGGCCCAAAGTCACCCAGCTGGCTTTCATACCTAAGACGGGACTAGAACTCACCGTCTCCTGGTGATTGGCCCAAAGTCACCCAGCTGGCTTTCATGCCTAAGGCAGGACTAGAACTCACCGTCTCCTGGTGATTGGCCCAAAGTCACCCAGCCAGCTTTCATGCCTAAGGGGGGACTAGAACTCACCATCTCCTGGTGATTTGCCCAAAGTCACCCAGCTGGCTTTCATACCTAAGGCGGGACTGGAACTCACCGTCTCCTGGTGATTGGCCCAACGTCACCCAGCTGGCTCTCATGCCTAAGACGGGACTAGAACTCACCGTCTCCTGGTGATTGGCCCAAAGTCACCCAGCTGGCTTTCATGCCTAAGGCAGGACTGGAACTCACCGTCTCCCACTTTCTAGCCAAAACCACTTGCCCAAACTGATTCTCTTTAGCAAACCTTGGGAAGATTTTACAACAGACCATACAGACTTCAGTCGATTATCCCCTTGAAAATGAGGAAGAAATTCACAGAAGGCAACATAAGCCCATCTTATTTTTTTTTAACCCGATAACTTATTTAGTTGACTGGGGAATGCAGCAGACATATATATCTTAAAATCTCTCCTTGGAACAATGTGACGCAAGGACCCTTAAAAGACCGGCCCAAATCAGTTCTCCTTTTCAAATTGGATGTTTAGGATGGTTTATCCATTTCTATGCCGCTCAACTCCCAGAGTCCCTTGGGAGTTGGGCGGCATAGAAATGCGACAAAATAAATAAATAAAATAAATAAATAAGGAATGGATTTTTGGTTCAAACTTAAAATCTTGAAACTATTTTGGAGAGCGCTCATTGTTGGATGCTTATCCTACGGTTGGGTAGGTAATATATAGAAAACTATGTTCTGTAACTTAACTGCTACAAAGATGACTAATTGGCTGTGCTAAGCAGACATAAAAGAAGGCAGGAAGTTCGCTCACTTCTGCTCCTGCTCCTGCTATTGAAGGTTGAACTGCTGGAAGGAACTGTGTCTGTGTTTGAAGAGAACTGGAATTGTAAAGCAAACTATGTTTTGTGTTAAACCGTGATTGTTTGAAGAAGTTGTTTTGAGAAGCCAAGTTTGTTTTTATACTACAAGTAAAGACTGTTTATTTTTCTTTAAACGTTCAGAGTCTGTGACTATCTGTGTGTTTTGCTAAGCATCGTATCTATTCGCTGTCTGGTCCGTTGCACTACCTAGCAGACGGCAGTTTCACCCTCAACACTCATTTCCTGCAATAACACGGGCAGACTAACTTAATGTGGGTGTCTCCTTGAAAAACTTTTAAATTCGTCTCCGAAGCCCACGCAGAGTCCCTCACCCACCTGGTATTCTGCCGTCCTTCTTGCTGTTCGGTAGTCACAGCCATTTGTGACCTCGGAGTTTTCCTGCTGCCGGGAATTCTCCTCTTCCGAGTAGTTTTTCTGGATACACCCAGAAAGCCTTTTCGAGTGCTGGAAAGGAAGGGAAAAACTGAGTCCCCCATGCAGAAAAGAGGCGAAGGAGGGCACTTCAACCAAGAAACAGACGGTCCTTGCTTATACCAAGAAAATGCCAACCTTTGAGCCCTGTGGACTTCAACTCCCAGAATTCCCCAGCCAGACATGCTAAAATTAGAACTCACCGTCTCCTGGTGAACTGGCCCAAAGTCACCCAGCTGGCTTCTGTGTCTATGGTAGGACTAGAACTCACCGTCTCCTGGTGACTGGCCCAAAGTCACCCAGCTGGCTTCTGTGTCTATGGTAGGACTAAACTCACCGTCCCTGGTGACTGGCCCCAAAGTCACCCACTGGCTTCTGTGTCTATGGTAGGACTAGAACTCACCGTCTCCTGGTGACTGGCCCAAAGTCACCCAGCTGGCTTCTGTGTCTATGGTAGGACTAGAACTCACCGTCTCCTGGTGACTGGCCCAAAGTCACCCAGCTGGCTTCTGTGTCTATGGTAGGACTAGAACTCACCGTCTCCTGGTGACTGGCCCAAAGTCACCCAGCTGGCTTCTGTGTCTATGGTAGGACTAGAACTCACCGTCTCCTGGTGACTGGCCCAAAGTCACCCAGCTGGCTTCTGTGTCTATGGTAGGACTAGAACTCACCGTCTCCTGGTGACTGGCCCAAAGTCACCCAGCTGGCTTCTGTGTCTATGGTAGGACTAGAACTCACTGTCTCCTGGTGATTGGCTCACACAGGTAGTCCTCGACTTACGACCGTAATGGAACCTGCCAATCACGGTCATACTTCATGGCAGTTGGGAAGCAGGTTGGTGACGTGATCAAACCACGCCCTATGATCTTTTTTTTGTGACGGTTTTAAGTGAATCCCACAGTTGTTAAGCAGACCAATTTTCCGCTATGAGCAGGATTTTATTCTGGTTTTTAGGCAAAGCTGTTGTAAAATGTAATCATAAGTAGGGGGGAGGTAGGACTGCTGGAACTTCGAATCCCATTTGTAATAAGTCTATCACAACTTCAAATGGTCACTAAGTGAGTGGTCATAAGTCGAGGACTACTTCAACTTTTTCTTCCAGTGTTTTTTTTTTTTTCTTTTCTTTTTTTGTTTTTGTCTTTTTAGTTTTCAGAAAAACTACTTCGATTCCTTCACTTTTTCTCATTCTTTTATCATGGTGTGTGCAGGTAATCTTATTAGGTTGAGGTAGTCCTCGACGTACGACCACAAGGGAGCCCAAAATTTATGTTGCTAAGCGAGACATTTGTGAAGCGAGTTCTGCTCCATGTTAACGACCGTTCCTTACCACAGGTGTTAAGTGAATCCCTGCGGTTGTTAAGACAGCAACATGGTCGTTAAGCGAATCCGGCTTTCCCTGTTGGCTTGGCTCGTCAGACGGTCGCAAAAGGGGATCCACATGGCCATGGAACCCTGCGACCGTCGTAAAGATGAGACAGTTGCCTAGCGGCTGAATTTTGATCACGTGACCACGGGGAGCCCTGCGACGGTCCGTAAGTGTGAGAAACGGCCCTAAGTACCTGTTGTAACTCTGAACGGTCGCTAAATGGACTGTCGTAAGTCGAGGACTACCTATATTTTTCTTCTTTGCTTTTTGCAATGAGTTTTGAATTTTTTTTTTAAAAAAAAAAAGGAGAAAAAAACCTCCTTACCCTGATTTTGTGACGTTCCTTGAAGCCTTCGATGCTTTCCACATCGTCTTTGACTTTCTTCTCCTGCGAGACGGGACCAGCCTGGAAGACGATCCGGGTGCTGGTTTCTGCCTCAGGCTGTTCTCCCAGCCAGCGTTTCCTCGCACCGGGACCTGGGACCCCCCGAGGGGAGGAAAACATCAGGATCCGAGGGTCTGATTCTTCCTTAAGGACCCCCGAATCAGGGGTTTTCCCCCCCCCCCCACGTTTATTTCTTTTATTATATAACACTCAATTTTCATCAAACTGTGTGTATCTGGGTACAATTATATTTTGATAAGTCATATTTATACATCTTCATTATATTTAGTCATCACCATGGTATTAATAATATAATAATATAAGAGCCTTGGTAGTACAGTGGTCTAAAGCACCCTGTTATTAAGACCAGCTGCCTGCAATTACTGCAGGTTTGAATCTCCCCAGGCTCAAGGTTGACTCAGCCTTCCATCCTTTCTAAGGTAGGTGAAATGAGGACCCAGTTTGTGGGGGCAATAAGCTGACTTTGTATAAAATATACAAAAGATGAAGGCTATTGCTTAGCGCCTTGTAAGCCGCCCTAAGTCTCCGGAGAAGGGCAGCATATAAATCAAATTAAAAAAATAAAATAAAAAAAAATATGATATAAATAACCTTAATGCATTTAACATTGAACATCGTCTTCTTTAACAAACTCTCCTCTATCCATTTCCTCCCTTTATATCTCTTCCTTTCTAACTTCTGTTTCTATTATCAAGCCATTGATAAAATGTGTCCCATATCAAAAAAATATTCAGTTTCTTCTTTATCCTTAATAGCAAGTGTTAATCTATCCATTTCTGCACAGCCTAATGTTTTTTTAATTACATTATCCTGAGATGGGGTCTCATCTGGCTGCCGTTAATATGTGCAAAATCAAATATGCAGTCTTTTTGTCATATTTTTTCTGGCAGAATATGCCAGCAGAAATATCTCTATGGTTTCAGATCTATATGTAGATTTATCATTTTTTTCCAGCCAGGTGTGTATTTTTGTCCAATATTTTCTCACTCTTGGGCAGGAACCCAAATCAGCTTTAAAAGGCTAACCCTTCCCTCATCAAAAACAGGAAGATTGAGCCCACCCACCCCAAAACCATCACTCCCAGGGAAGAAATGCATTTTCCGATGCTCCCCAAATCAATTAACTATCGACATATTTATTTAATTTATACCTCACCTTTAGTATTTTTACAGACAATTCAAGGCGGTGAACAGTTTCCTCCTGCTCTTTCCCCACAAAAACAACCCTGTGAGGTGGGCTGAGCTGAGAGAGAGAGAGAGAGAGAGGGACTGGCCCAAAGTCACCCAGCTGGCTTTCATGCCTAAGGCGAGACTAGAACTCACCATCTCCTGGTGACTGACCCAAAGTCAACCAATTGGCTTTCACAGCTAAGGTGGGACTAGAACTCACCATCTCCTGGTGATTGACCCAAAGTCAACCAATTGGCTTTCACACCTAAGGCAAGGCTAGAACTCACCATCTCCTGGTGATTCAACCAATTGGCTTTCACACCTAAGGCGGGACTAGAATTCACTGGCTCCTGTGATTGGCCCAGACTCAACCAGCCAGCCCATATGCCTATAAGGAAGGACTAGAACTCGCCATCTCCTACCAATAGGCTCAAAGTCACCCAGCCTGCTTTCATCCCTAAGGCAGTACTAGAACTCACAATCTCCCGCTCTCTAGCCTGGTGCCTTAACCACTAGCCTAAACGAGCACATCCTGTCTTTGCTCACCTCTCGGACTTGCTTGGGGATGTCATCAGCCTCCTCTTCCTCCTCCTCCTTTATCCCAGAGGTCACACTTTCCGCCTGGCTGGCGTCTGCGCAAAGAAAGCATCCGTCACTAAGAGGGAGCTGGGCCTGAGGTTTTGACACCCGGGATTTCCTTTCTGCAGAAATCCCCAACAGCTTCCCAGTTCTAAGCCCGTTCAACGAATTTGGCTTCTCCAAAAGGATTTCAGTGCTGGAAGTTCCCACGACTGCCTGCCTGAGATCCAGCCCGGCAGCCAAAGATCTCCTGGTGGTCTCCCATCCTTCTCTTCTTCCTCTCTGCAACTGCAAGACGTCTACTTCTGAAGCCCGTCAGAGGCTCCACGTGCCTCCAACTCTCTGCTGCGGGCACCTGGCCAAGCAAAAATGGCCTTTCCTGGGTTCACAAAGTGCAGGCCGCCCTCCGACTTGCAACCACAGCCGTCACGAAGTGAGATGGTCATTATCTGAGTCACATCCAATTTTATAACCTTTTATGTGGCGGTTGTTAAGCAAAGAAAGGTTGTGAAATTGGGTGTGACTCAGATAATAACTGTCTCACTTAAAGGTCTGGTCCCAATTGTGGTCACATGTCAAGGACTACTTCCAGGTGAGAGATTCCTGGGAGGCTCCAAGAGTAGCGTTTTTTCAACCTTGAAGATGGGTGGACTTCAGTTGTCAAGGTTGGTCCTTTCCTAACCAAGCAGATCTGGAGACTATCAAGATGTCTCCTTCTTTGACCCAAGGAGCTTCTTCTAACACATTTTCCACCCAAACTTTCTCTTCTCCCTTCCTTCTTTTGTTCTTATTTTGTTCCTTCCTCTCTCTTTACTCTCCCTCCTCCTTCCTTCCTTCCCTCTCTTTCTTTCTTCCTCTTATCCTCCGTCCCTTCTCTTTCCTTCCTTCCTTCTTCCTCCATCCCTTTTCTTCCTCCCTCTTTCCTTATCCTCCTCCCTTTCTTCCTCCCTCTCTTTATTCTCCCTAGCTTCTCCTTCCTTTTTTACTCTCCCCTCCCTTCATCTCTCCCTCTCTCCTCTTCCTTTCTTCCTCTTTTTATCCTCCCTCCATTCTCTTCCTTCCTTCCTTCCTTCCTTCCTTCCTTCCTTCCTTCCTTCCTTCCTTCCTCCTATCCCTTTTTCTTTCCTCACTCCCTACTTTCCTCACTACTTTCCTCTGTCCCACTCTTCCTTTTTCCCTCCCCCTTCCTTCCTCCCTCCCTCCCTCCTTTTCTCCCTCCCTCCCTCCGTCCCTTCCTCCCTCCCACCCTCCTTCCCTCCCTCATCCTTCCTTCCTTCCTTCCTTCTTCCTCCTATGCCTTTTTCTTTCCTCACTCCCTACTTTCCTACTACTTTCTTGCATCCCACTCTTCCTTCTTTCCCTCCTCCCTCCTTCCCCCTTTCTTCCTTCCTCCCTCCCTCCCCCCTTCCTTCTTTCCTTCCTTCCTTCCTCCCTCCCACCTGCCCTTTCTTCCTTCCTCCTATCCCTTTTTCTTTTCTCATTCCCTACTTCCCTCCATACTTCCCTCCATCCCTCTCTTCCTTCTTTCCCTCCTTCCTTCCTCCATTCTCCCTCCTTTCCTCCCTCCCTCCCTTCCCTCCCTCCCTTCTTTCTCAAACTAGTTCCTTGAATCACACATTATTAAAAAAAGAAAAAGGCTTCAGAAACAGGCCTGATGGGCTAAATCAAAAGATCTTTTTGCCAACTGGATCCAACCATCTTCTTCCTGAGCACATCCATCTGCCTCCTTCGATGGAAATACAGTCCGTATCTTTGGTGTTGCAGATTTTATTTCTCTTCTTCGTGTGGAGTGTCCTCCCCCTGGAAAAGTACTTGTCGTTTGTACACAAAGTTCTTATCTAGCACGGCCTGCATGTTTGCCGAACACTCCAAGAAAAATTAAACAGTAGCCATATGTTGTGTAACCGACACACATTAGCTGGCACACATATAATCCAACTGCATTTGCTCACACACTCGAACCCAGGCAGAATATCTTATTTTATTAACATCCGTGAGTGCTGAGGCCAAAACTTCCCCAAATCAACCCAGGTAGTCCTCGACTTATGCCCACTCCTGGGATAAGAATTTCCGCTGTTAAGGAAGACAGTTGTTAAATGAGTCATATAATAATAATAACTTTATTGTCATTGTACGTGTATACACAGTATTCCCATACAACGAAATTCACTTAAGACCCAAAGACCAGGTCCAACACACATAACAATCCCCAAACAACCCCCACCCACCCACCACAAATTCCCCGCCCCTAAACCACCCAAACATCCACACAACAGACCAAGTAATGCTGTCCAACAGCTCACTGATGGTGGCCCTTCAGTTCATTGTTGAGTGCAATTATAGCTCTGGGATAAAAACTATTCAGAAAACGTGTGGTCCGAGTTTTAATTGTTATGTATTTTCTGCCGGAAGGCAACAGTCCAAAAAGATTGTAAGCAGGATGGGAAGAGTCTCTGAGAATGTTATGCAACTTTCTCAAACAGCGAGATTCGAAGATGTCATCCAGGGCTGATAGCTGGAGTCTGATGATATTCTGGGCAGTTTTAATGATTCTCTATAGAGCTTTTATGTCCACTGCAGAGCTGCTCCCATACTATGCAAGAATGTCGTATGTCAGGATACTCTCAATGGTGCTGCAATAGCAGGACAGAAGTAGATGCTGAGATAGATTTATCTTCCTGAGCATTCTCAGGAACTACAGCCTCTTCTGTGCCTTCTTCACAAGCATATTTAATTTAATTTAATTTAATTTAATTTAATTTAATTTAATTTAATTTAATTTAATTTAATTTAATTTAATTTAATTTAATTTAATTTAATTTAATTATTTAATTTAATTTAATTTAATTTAATAATTTAATTTAATTTAATTTAATTTAATTTAATTTAATTTAATTTAATTTAATTTAATTTAATTTAATTTAATTTAATATTTAATTTAATTTAATATTTAATTTAATTAATTCAATTTATATGCCGCCCCTCTCCAAAGACTCAGGGCGGCTCACAATACATTCCAAAAAATCATTATAAAAAAAAACATTTAAAAATTAAAAACATTAAAAACTCATTCACGCCATTCATGGCCGGATCTCGCCAGATCACAAGAGCGAGATCAACGGCCCCAGGCCTGTCGGAAAAGCCAGGTCTTCACCGCTTTTCAGAAGGCCAATAGGGTGGGGATGTATAGGATGTTAGCATTCATAGTCCATGAGAGGTCCTCCAAGGTATAAATGCCCAGAAATTTAAAACTACCCA